ATGTTCTATAAATGTTTAGTAAAAAGAAGAATTGTTATCTTGAAACTCGTGTATTGATTTCTATTTTCATATCGTCGTATTGTCATGAAAAAAGTTTCTATCAAGCGATAATCGTGAATTTGAGTTTTAATAAATTTAATGTTCATGATAAATGATAATGTAAATTGTAAAAAAAATTTTCCATTTTATTCATTTTTTCAACAACTGTTCTAGATAAATAAAATAACACGATTGAATAGAAAGATTCAAATAAGATACGTATTGATCGTTATATTTTATGAGAAAATGCATTGCACGATGATCATTATTATAGACGTTAATCTCTGTATCACACGAAACATTAATCCAGGTAATGCGATACACGTTTCATATTTCGGTACCAAAGAAAACTTATCACGAATGATTTTGATATTATATGATATATTCATTCCATAATAAAAGTTAGAATTATAATTTATGATACAATGATATTTTATTGATGCAAAAAACAGAAGAATTAATTTAATCTTTAACGAGTTTAATAATGATATTTTTTCTTTAGTTTTTTTTTTTTTTTGATCATGGTACTTCTAATAATATGTATAAATTATTATTATTATTTTCTTTTGATCGTTTGATCTTTCATATTTCTAATCATTTTGAATCATTAATGAAAGTTTATTATAATTTATTTTTAATTACTCGATTAAATATATATTTTAAATGTAATTTATACTTTGAATATTACTTATTATTTTTCTTTTTGAATTTAAAATGCAAGGTCGTTAGCTATTTAAAAGTATTTTACAAAGTGCATCAATTCATTTCGACAAATTATTTACGTAATTCGTACAAATTTACGATGCGCTTGATCTATTCAAGGCCGGAAGATGATATTTAAAGAAAATGCTTGTAATTCTTGAATGCATTATTCAAAGATTATTTTCATATTTTTATATGATAGAGAGTAGAAACATTTAAATTATCTATTTTTTTAATTTTGTAATATCATGACATCAGAAAAGTATTTAAATTCTTAAATTTTCAAATATCAAGTTATTTGAATATCAATTTAAATTTTTAACTTTGAATTTTCAAATTTTAAATATGTACTTATTCTAATTCAAATTCCTATTTAATTGAATTAATAAGATATAAGTACATCTCTCTTTATTTGTGAATGCTTAATAGAGTCAAATATAATCTATACAAATATTTATGAAGTGAGTTTTGAAAGTTATAATCTTCATTATTTATAATGTAAATATTGAATATTATTTAATAAAGTCGTGAACGAAAAGAAGACAACAAGTTTATATAGAAATATATCCGAGAAACTCAATGGAAGGTTTCACTATGTTTCTTTTCAAATTTTTACTGTAAGGAGCGCATTGAACTAGATATCAACCGATAAAATTAACGATTTCACATTGAGTTTAAAGTGGAATTCATTAAATTTCTCTTCGAAATGTTTCATTAGGGATGAACTTAACTCCTCTACCGTGAAAAGAAAGAACTTATTGGAAATTGCTTTTCAATTTCAAACTTTTAAGATCGTCCTTAATCTAATACTTTTTTCTTGAATATCATCAAATATTAAACTATTCTATCTCTATCATAAATACATATAATAATAAAAATAACAAAAAAATTTGATGTTAAAAATTATTAGAAATTTAAAAAACATTTTATATTTATTTTAATATTCATAAATAAATATTTGTTATGTACTATAATCCATATTATCGTTAAAACATAGTAAAAAAGATGTTTATTTACACAATCACGTGAAATATATCAAGCAGAAATACGATTGTATATATAGCAAACAGAAAAATAATGGTTGTATATACGCTCTGTCAAATAGTATATCAATGACTGATAACAATAGTACGATCAAAACTTTTAATATTACAATGCCGTGTGTCTAAGTCATTGAAATCTTCGAGATTCGACTCGTTTTCAAGATAATAATTTTTCCTCTTCTTCTCTTTTTTCTTTTCTTTTTTTTCTTTCTTTTTCACTTCATTACACGCGCATTGTATAACAGTATTATCGACTAAATCGTTAATAAGTCAAGTATTCCGCGGTCGCGTCTCTCAATACGAAATAAAGATTCATTCAAGCAAAAATAGATTCCTTTTCGACATTGTTGAACTAATTTTTCACAAATTAAATATTTTCTCTTTTCCATTATTATCAACAACAATTATCGTTCAAATGAATTTTCATCATCGATTAATAACGATACATGTTCATGATGAATATACCTGAATTTCATATTTCATATTTGAGGTACATTGTTGAAAAAAAACTTTTTAAAATATATCAATATAAATATTCGAAAATCATCCAAAAATTAATAACGAAACGCAAATTTATATAAATATTTCGTCTAATGAAAAATATTATGAAATAATTTGTTTTTACGAAATAATCTTTAATTCTGATTGTTTATAAATTAAAATATATTTGAATGATAAAAATTTAATAATACATTTACGTATACAAAGTTAAGTTGCTCAAATAATGTTCAATTTAGAATTAGGCACATTATAAATTTGAAAATAAATATTTTTTGTACATATACTATGAATATAATATATCATATAAGTACATATACTATGAACAGTATAAATTGTTAAATATTCAATTTGAAATTCAATGATTGCAAATGTTTAAAGTATTCGAATGATAGATTGTTCAAATGAACTTTGCATCGCTATATTGACATAAATATTTCATAAAAAAATATTTACTCATTTTAAAAAATTTATTAATATTTATTAAAATTGTTAATAGATAAACTTCGACGCAAAACTTTTTTTTTAGCGTGGTAAAAAATGAAATGATGAATTATCACTTGAAGATAATTTCTTTCCTTTTTATTCCTTTACATAATACATTTATATTTACACTATTATAGTTTATAATTAGAATATATCGTAAAAAAAAAAATGAAATGTAAGCAAAAGAAGAAAATTCAAATAGATATGCATTACCGATAGAAAATTGACAGAAAAGAAAATTTTTTTATAATAGTAATTTTTTTGTGAGATAATTTAAATCCAATTGTAATCATTAAGCAATGATTAAACTCTATAAATGAAATAAAAAAACAAAAACCATAAAAAACAAAATATAATATACAAGTAATTATAATATTGTATAAGAAAATAAAAAGAAAATAATTAATTAATTAATTATCTAACAAAATATTACAATTGTAATTAAATTTCAAAATAATACTTAAAAATATTAAATTTAAAAATATCAAAAAATTTTATTTTTAATTATTATTTGTAATGTTAATGGGAAGAATAATTACCTAAAAAAATATTTTAATAAAAGAAATACGAGATATTTTCTTATAATTTATTATTTCATATTTCATATTTCAAAGTTCAAAATGCATTATGATATATCAGTCATATTGTTTGCCAAAATATAATAATAAAATTAAATGATTATAATTATTGTTAAAATTTTTAAATTCTCTTATATTTTGAATTAAAAAGAATGACTCGTTAAATAATTTTTTATTATATTTTTAATTTACTATAGTTTCATCATTAGAAAAAAAAAATAGATATAAAAAAAAATAAACAAATGCTAATATTATTTTTTATAACCTGTTTTGATATATATTTGTTAATATTATTTATAATTATAATATATAAACTGTTAATATTGAATTTAATTTAAATATTAAATAAAACATTATTGGTGATAATGTATTTATTTTAAGTATGAAATTAAATAAAATTATTAATGAATATCTACGAATATATTATATAATAATATATAAAACTATTATAATAATTATTACAATTTTATAATAATTGAAATATTTTTACATTTTAATGTAAATGTAAAACATTTTCTTACAATAAGTTAAGATTTATATAGTCAATTGTAATTTGTGAATTTTTAATAGATGGCAGCACTCTCTAGGTAAAACTTAGAATTCTATAAACCAAATATTTAAAATCAAGTTAATTAATCATTAATTCTAATAATTAAATCATTTTCATATTATATCATTTTATTTATTTTATTAACTATATCAATTATCATTATATTATTCTTATGCTTATATTATTTTTATTTATATAAAAAATTCACTAAATTATAGAAATATATAATTTCGTTTATATTATGCAAAAATAAATCAATTTTTATTTATAATCTTAAAAAATAAAAAGCATGAATTGCAATTCATTGGTAAATCTTTTTAGAATACCACAAAAATTGAAATTTCTAATATAAAAGATTGTATAAAATTTAGCATAGTATAATGATTTCATATTGAATACGCACGAACATTTACTACGATTACAAGTTGTCAAGGGTAAAAATACTGCAGTACTACTGCAAAACTTTTAATAAAAGCGTCAACACTTCACATCAGTAATGTATTGTCAGTCACGTCATTTTAAATAAAAGAAAGATATTGACTTCCATCATAGTCTTCTCCTTTTTTGCATAAAAGACTCATTATTCCCATTTGCTTAAAAATTTTTTTGAATAAATGCCAAAACTTATATTTAATCTTATATTTTATTTTATATACAATTATATAATTATAGTTATTTATATTAATCCTACATTTCCTTTATTATCACTTCTTATAATATTTTGTTCACATTATATAAAACATATTATAAAACATACAGTATATTCTTAAACATTATTTGTAAAATATAATTCACAAAATTATTTTTATAATTTATTAACTTTTTTCTTTATTCTTAAAAAAAAGTCATCTATTTTTTTATAATAAAACATATTATTATATAAATTATATAATTTATTATAAATTATATTATATAAATTTATATATATTATAAATTCTACATTGTAGTAATAAAAATTTAATAAAAATGTTATACAAGAAATTTTTATGAAATTTATTAATTTAAATAATTAGTTTTAAATTTATTAAGTTCATATTTATATGATAAATTAAAATATATAGTGAAAATAATTTTGTCAGACCAGGCTTTATATTTTGAGTTGGACATTTCTTTTATTTAGAAATAATAGAGAGAGAAAAAGTTAACTCGTAGTAACATAATGCGATTGCTATCTATCGTATATTAAAATATATTTCATGCAGCAATAAAATATGATTTTTACGATTATAACACTAAATAATTTTTGTCATTGCATTATAATTATAATATTGAATTTTTTTATTATGATATATGATGTTACGACAACGAAAATCATGACATTTAATATCGCGTGAAAAAGTATTTTAATACGGGTTTCGATAGACGATCTTTCTTAATTTTTTTTTTCTATTATTTCCAAATGTGATATCAAATTTCGATATAAAATCCTATCTGACAAGACTGAGTGATTGAACATTTAAAAACTTAAATGAAATAAATGATACTACATAGTAGATTTATTATCATTTAAATAGAATATAATATTCATGCATCATCTATATTTGTGTTATAATGAAATTGAACAAATTCGAAAAGATACGTACAAATTGTTAAGAAATAATGTTTAATTACCTAAGATCTGATTATATATAACCTTACTTAGGATTTAATAAATTATAAAAGAATTATGAACTGTGTTAATTAAACATAAAAGCACTTTTTCATATTATAATTGCATGGAAATTTTTATCAAATTTAATATATTATTCAACTTTTTATATTATTCAGAATAATTAAGTCAAAAAACAGTATCTGTGAATAATCAAAAGTTGACCATGATTTGTTCGAGCAGCATACTAGCACATTTAGTGAAACTCTTTGTGACACTTTGTTGTATGAAAACTCTCAATAATACATATGATAAAACAAGTATCTGGTCCTTTCGTGCCTTTCAAATTCTACTTTCACATGCCATAGTAGGAACATTCAGATTTGGTAAGAATATATTGATAATTAAATATATTTTATATCTTGACATTTGCATAGCATATTTTTGAAGCAATATTATCTGTATAGATCTTATTATCTTCTAATAATATATCTTATATTAATAAATTAATAAAAGTCAAATTGAAGATTAATATAAAACTAAAGAAAGTATTTAATTTTTAAATATAAAACTTAAAAAATAAAATATATATTATATACATATATATTATATATATAATATTATAATCCATGAAATATATGCTATTTATGAAATATATAAAAAATAATTATATAAAAAATGTCATTTATATAATAATTATTTATATTTTTTGAAGAATAAATTTTTTATTGATATATAATTTTAAATAATTAATATATAATTAAATATTATTAGAATTAATATAATAATACTAATTTTATTTATATTTTAAAGATATATATATATATATGTAATATAAATTCTAAAATCTTATAAATTTTTAATATTACTTATTATAATATTACAAATAATATTTTTATTATTTATACTTTAGTATTATAATGAAATTTCATAAAGATAAATGTAGATGAACAATAACAATGATAAATTACAATAAACATAAACAAATTTGATATTTTATAATATTTTTATGAATTTTAGATCTTAGATAGAGATATTTTAAAATTCTATAAAATTTTAAAATTCTGTAAAAGCAATTAATTCATATTATAAAATATAGCAACAATAATAATAATATTTATATATATAATATAAAACATATTATATTTATATTATTTTAGCAATGTTATTTCCAGGAGTTCCACTTTTTACATCAGGAACCAATATAATAAAATACTTAAGAATCTTTTATGATTGGTACTCTAAGATAGTGGATGTTATACCATTGGCATTGTTTACTGGTGGTATCCTACAAGGATATGGGATTAGTGAAAAAATCCGACTTATAATACTTTCATTGGGCATTTTGCCAGTATTTTTTCATTTACAACCAAAGCGAAAAGAAAACCAAATGAGAAGGCATCAATTATTAATAAATATTATTACTACTCTGCAATTATTAATGATTATGTTGATTGGTTTGAGAAACAATAATTATAATGTTATTAGTTTAGTTATGTCGTATATATTTGAACGTTTTTTTATTGATGAATTTTGTTATTATTATGATATCCCAAGTACTGATCTAACTCAATATTCTCTCTGTTTTGTAGAAATTTTTATGGTTTTGACATTGAATGAAATGTGATAAGAATATATATATGATAACATAAGAATATAAAATGATAAGAATATAATATTATACCTTTTATGCTAGGTTCGTAATGATGCTAATAAATAGCTGAAGAGCAGATCAAACAATTACAGGTTTGTTTGTTTAGTTTTTGGATAATTTAATTTTTACATATTTTTACATATCTCTTTTGTAAAAATATCTGGAAAATATTTATTTATAGCCATATATTTAATAATAAAAAAAATTATAATAGAAAACGTCAATATGATAAAAAAAAATTTTTATACGAAAAACAAATATAATAAAACAATAAACAATTAATATTTATTAAAAAATTAAAGTGGATTTAAAAATTTTATTAGTATGTCGTATGAAAATTATGAGAAATTACTTAACATAATTGAACTATAGTTACATTATAAACATATATACGCTTTGAATTCATGAGCAAATATATCTGAATAAACATTTTTATGTTCATTAATCAATTTGATGTTAATTGCTATTCGCAAAAATGTTTATTATTAACGAGAATAATGACGAAAATAATTTGCAAAAAGCAATATGAATGCAGCATTATATATTTATGAAAATAAAATTTACATATAATTATTTTGAATTTATAAGTCTTGTACGATAAATTCCCTAAAATCACAAAATGAAAATTTCTAGATAGAAATTTCTAGAATGTTGAAAAATTACTATTATTAATACATAAACTTTTTATATGAATAGAAAATTAAATTTCTTAATAAAGTATTTTAAACAATTCTATTTTGTTCAAATTTGTAAATTATAATATTAAATCCAATGCTATGATAATATGATAATATGACAAAGTTATGGCGGTAATATCGCGTGAAAACGTATTTTAATATACGCATCGGGGTAGGTGGCGTGATAATCGCCTCGTATTACTTCCTCCAGCTTTCTCTCCCTTTATTATTTCTAAATGAGAGTGACGTCAGATCTTGCGAATACAGAATCTTCTTGTCTGGTAAGGTTGACTGATTAAATCCATATTTTGGCAAAGTAACGAATAAAACGTGCAGTAATAAATCTCAATTGCTCGTGAATTTTATATATAATATTGCATTTAACATCTGATTTATTTAAATTCTTGAAAGAAAGAACAATAAAATAATATTCAATGAAATCGGTTACTTCTCTCGCGGAAACAAATTTTCAAGGAATCGGACGTGACATGGCTGAGCGGCTTGGTTTGGGTTCTGAAATACGGGAACTCAAATTAGGACCAAGCTTTACAAACAATAGGTCGACGGCATTTCATACTTTAAAATGTTAGTATATAAATTTTTTAAATTTATAATCTAAATTCATAAATATATTTTTAATTATTTTATTTTATATTATTATATATTTGAAAAAATACAAGAAATATAGTGATTGTTGTATGAAAACATAATTGATTAGTAATGTTGTATGAAAACATAATTAATTAATAAGTAATTAATAACTATAATATTGATTATAGATGATTTTAAACCAGCAAGTGTTGATGTTTCCAAAGTAGCAAGAGTTGATGTTGGAGCAAACAATATGATGACAGTTACTGTTCCACATTTAGATGGTGCTGGAATTCCTCATACTGTATTTAAAGGTTCTCAAAGGCCTTACCATAAGGAATGCGTTCTGATAATTGATAGAGTTACTGGAGAAATTACATTGGAGAAATTAACAGCAAATATCCAAGTAAAAAAAACCAGGTATGTAATCTTTTTAAAATATCTTTTTAAAATATGCTGAATCATAACATGTACATATATTATATTTTAGAACAGAACCAAAGTCTCAATCACATTTAGGAATTTCTGGAGGTAATAATAGTAATAATAGCAATAGACCTATAACTCCAGTAGAAATTAAAAAGAGTCCTACACATGGAAGAACAACAACAAGATCAAAAGTTATTAGTGGTAAAAAAAGAGAACCTAGTATTCAATTACATCCAAAACAATATAGCCCTCATAGAGTTTCTCCATATCATGGCAAAAGTCCACCTTCTACTTCAACTAATAGGTATATATTTTATATATTTTAAATAATAAATAAATAGTAAATATATTTTAAATGCAAAGAAATATTAGAAAATTTTGATTTTATTTTTATTTTTTTTTATAATTTAAATATTTTTAATTTTAAAATTAAAATTAAAATTGAAATATTTTTTAAAAAAATATAAACTAATTTAAAATCTTGGTTATATAGTAATGTCATATTAATATATTAAGATTCTTTTTAAACTTATTAAAAACACACAGAATTTTAGTTCACCAGTGCAACCATCAGTGGCACATTCAGTGTTGGCCAGTTTACCAATGATTGGTTCTGATAATGATGACTGTCCTTTAACATCAACTGGATCATTTCCTGTTACAAATTCTTCGAGGTCATCATGTACAAATAATACTACTATTATAAAACCTTCTGTAACTATAGATAGCGATGAAGGTGCTCTTAGTGATTCTACTTCAAGTAGTTCTACAGAAAGTTCAGATAGTGATTCAGACACTGAAAATGTTCCAGTTTTAACAGGAACCAATGGTATATTTTCAATATAATTATTTTTATTAATCTTTATGTAAATATAAATAATTTTTTTTTTATGTTTCTTTTTAGGACATTTAAATAGTACTGCTTCGTCTCCCACATGCTTAATGCCAGATAATCTTCTAAATGATGATTTACAATTATCAGAATCAGAATCTGATAGTACCTAATGGTAACATATATTTAATTATATATAATTTTCTATATTAATCTAATTATATTAATAATATCAACAAATATATTTCTATTGAATAGTGATTTTGAGGATTAATAAGATCTTTTAAAGATCTTTTCACTGCAAAAAGTTTATTTTTTCAACATTTTATTTTCTGTTATATTGAAGGATTTAGACGAAATAAAACAATTCAATTTTACTTCACATTATACACAAAACGTGTATAGTAAACTTGATAGTATCTTCCATATATTCAGTGTTGAAGTAAGTTATAATATATAAATCTTTTGCTTTTTATGCAAAAAAATATATGAAATGTGTAATGAATAGTAATATACTATATTATTTATAAGGTATTAAGGGATTGTACAATTATTGACTAATATTTAGTATAATTATATATCTCCTTATTTTCTTATATGTTATAAAAATCTTGCCAAAATGTTTTTATATTTTTTCTAAGAAACTGGCAAATGTTTGATTATAATTTTCAATTTGATTATTTTTTAAATCTAAATATTATATATAGTATAAGTGTGTATAATATACACATTTCTTTACAATCTTCTTATAAATATAAAATCATATATGATGTGTTGTGAAAAACAAAAATTAAATTTTTGGTTGTATTATTTACAAAATATTTATTTAAATAGAATGTATAAATTTAATAAAATATCTATTATATTACAAATCTCTCTTATTATACACACACACATACACACACACACATAATATATTTTTATTAATCTTTATTATAATATATATATATAAATTATTTTAATATAAATTTTCGTCAAATATAATAGAATTTTATGATTTTATTTATTAATTTTTTCAAAATTACTTAAATTTTTGTTTTATATAAGTTACAAAATCATTTTTAACATCAAAATAATATATTTGATAATACTTTTGATAGCATTTGCATATACAATTTATGCTAGTAAACTATGTTTATAAGTTTGATAATCTAGAATCAATCTAGCAAGTTGACTACGTCGACCCAAATAACGATTCTTTAATTGTGTACAAAACATATTGATATTAGTGTTATCGACACAAGTAATGTTTGTATACCTTATTTTAAGAGCTGGTTCAATTGCGCGTAAAGTATGCACGTTACTGAAAGAAACAAACATTTCGAACAAAGAACTAACAGGAATATTTTGTGAAAGTTTTAATATTGATAGAATATCTCGATCAGAATGTATTATTGGAATGCTAGCCTCAATAGTTTTTCTCACTGCAAAAAAAAAATAAACTTATTAATTATAAAATGAAAAAGAAAATCTATGAAATAGGAATCATAAAAATATACGTACTAATATTGTAGTCTCTGACATAAAAGGCGATATTATTAAAATTATATTCGTCATATTTTCCATAATTTCGATTAATATCTGTATTAACTTTTTTTACATCATTTATATGTACTATATCAGGATGGTATTCAATGAAAGGTATTGGACTAAATATTTGATATTGATTAATAGTATTCATACGAACCTAAATATTAAATGCTTGATTAATTTTTATGTATGAAGTTTTTTTAAATAATAATAATAATAGTAATTTTTTTAATAATGCATATACTCTATTTAAATAATCCAATCGAAGTTGTATTCCTGTTTCGACAAAAAGTATCAAACTTTCAGATGTAAACTTTCTCATACATAAATCTGTAACAGCAATATTCAGCAATTGATTTATTTTAACAGATGTTATAATATTTGGTAAACGTATAGAGAGCCAAGTAATTTTTGATTGTTGTTTTTTATATTTTTCAGCTAAAAATAGCGCATATTGTTTAATTTCATAATATATGTCTTCTCGACCTTTTGATGCAGAGTCAAAATTATATAAGAGAACCTAAATAACAATTTAACAATATCAAAAGAAATATATATATATATATAAAAGATTTTCTAAAATAATATCTAGCAAAAAATACTAACCATCATAAGAAAAGTTTTATACTTTTTTTCCATACAATCTAAAGCATATTGCTCCAAAAAATTCAATGCATCCTGTTTCTTTGATAAATTTATAATTAATATTATATTTATTCTAGTGTTTTCTGTTACATATGGAACAGGCAAAATTTCAACTTTACCAAGTGGTTTACACACTTCAATCCTCTTTCTTAATGTTTTCTTGGTACTAATATTGATAAATTCTAAATCTAATATATAATCCATTCCTCGAGATGCATCAAATCTTTGATACCCATTCAATAATTTATTGAATTTTAATGCAATTTGACTATTAAAAATAATATTAACGACTGTAATATTAATTATTCGATCTATATCAAATTTAACATCGGTTTTTAATTCTTGTATAGTTGAAAAATCAGTATTCAAAAATAGATGAGTCTGATTAAAATATGTCCATCGTAAAATATCGAAACGTCCAATGGCATTATTTCCTGGTTGATTACCGATAGGCCAAGAAACGTTACGTTGTTGTAGAGGACCTAAATTTTGCATATTTAAAATTGTTTTTCGAATATTTAAAATTTTTTTTTGAATCTCAATAGTTTTTACCTAAAACCATTAATGAATAAAAATTATAATTTATTCCCATAAATCTCAAATTATATTACAATACAATATGTACAATTATATAATTATTATATCATATAATTGTCAGTATTATATAATAGTCTATATAATAAGCATATTTATTTATATAAGATAATTAATTTTTAATATATATAAAAAACTTACTGTTGCAAAATATGTATTCAATTTGTAAACAAATAGATGATCATATATTGGATATATTACAAGTGAATTTAGAAATTCTTCATTTCTAACTAATTCTTTTAAATTTTGTTCAAATAAGAATGTTGATTTCAACTTCGTATATAAAAATTTTTGTCCCTGTATATTATTAGAACAAGGTACTGAAATAGAATGAACAATACATCGTCCAAAATTAATGTCATCTGAATCAGAATAAGCATTTTTCACACACCAATCTAAATTATTTTTTAATTCTTGTATTACTGAATTACTCAAAAGAATTCCTGAATCTGAAAAATATAATAATTTATTATTAATAGAATATTAAATAAAGCAATGTTTTAATGTATAAATTAATTTACCTAAAGAACAATAAGTTGAAATATCTCCAAGAACACCCACATGAACATTTTGACTTACACTAATCTTATTAACGAATTCTACTAATTTTTTAACATTGATATAGCTTATATCTTTGATTAAAAAGTAATAATCATAATTCTCCAAATAATTATCAATTATATATTTCATTGTATGAAATGGCTTTAAAATTGTTCTAGTATCTGTAAATCCAACTATACCAGGAAGAGTAACATTAGGTTTTGTGCCTTCAGGTATAGAAATAAAGTATCGTACTTTGTCCACAATATGAGCAACTGTTTTATTAATTGCTGTGTCTCTACTATATAAATATTGTTGACTTGTTATGACTCCTATAAATAATTTTTCTCTGATACCAAGTTCTGTGGAATAATATCTTGGACGTACTAATGCTTTAGATACTTTTTGTGCTTGTTGAGGTTTATTATTAACATTTATTTTTGGTTCATATTCATCTAAATCTTCTTGATAATTTAAATAATGTATTAAATACTCTGTGTTTCCATCATAATTATTTATATTGACTGGTATCAATATCATACTAAGACTTAAGCCTATACTAATTCCAATTATTAAATATATATTTGCCCAACAATGAGTTAAAAATATTTTTAGCATAGGATTCATTTTTTAATAATATTTAGTCATGTGTAATGAATATAAATAATATAATATTTATTGATAATTATTGAGAATAATATAATATTTATAATATAATATATATTTATTACAAAGAATAAATATTTCTTTCTTTCATAATTCAGATTTTATATATTATGTTTAATTTTTATTTTTTATTATTAAATATACAAATAATTAAATTAAATATTATATGCACAAATCTTCTTATCTATCTTTAATAGTGATCTATAATATAAAATTTAATAACACTATTAAAACATATTCCACTATTCATAAATTAATTTATTGTAAAAATAAATTACTTACACATTATAGTTAAATAAGATTAGAAAAATAAAAATTTATAATTCATTAACGATATTTTAATATTTATATAATATTTATAATTTTTCGTTTCGTTAATAATAAACAATATATGACATGTAATACGATAATTTAAATTTATAACATTCGTTCTCTATTAAATTAAATACAAAATATTTGTATTATAACATATATATATATATTTATAACGATTCTGAAAAAGATTCATTAAAATTATTTTCTATAAAAATATTTTAATACTAATAATAATAATATTATTATAATAGATACTGTTTATTATCTGTATTTATTCAAAATACAAGATTGAGAATAAATCTATATTCAAGGCATATTTTTTTTATTCCAAAGATATTAAAATTTCTTATCATTTTAGTTTATTTTAGAGCATCATTTTTTTATAAAATGTTTTAAGATTCTTTCCTATTTCTCTTATTGCTAAAATAAACATATAAATATATATATAATCCTGCTGCTGCTGCCTTGCGTAAAAATACATTATAAAATAGATCTAGAGATACTTTGTAAAACTGAGAATATAATATTTATATTTTTTATATTAAAGATTAAAATATTCTAATTTTAAAAGAAAAACAATTAAAGAGTCAATTAATTCAATTAACATTCCGTACCTCCTTTGTAATCACATGCAGAACAAGTATAGACAAGGAAAATAAATGGTGGAAAAAGGATAGAAATTTATTAAAAATATGGAAATCAGCGCCATCTCTATCACAACTGAAATATATAAGGAAAGAATAAAAAATAATGGGAAAAAGATAGAAATAGGGTAAAATTTGATGATCAATGCCATCTTTTGAATGCCAAAGATATCTTTTTCAAAGAATCATCTTACTAAAAATATTCAAAAGAACTGATCTTCAATTTTTATTTCTATGTGTTTTTGAAGAAATATCTTTAGTTTTCAAGAAATATTAATTGATAAGAATGACAATAATTATCAATTCTTACTCTTTTTCTTCTACTATTTTTTATTCTTTTTTTTATGTATTTCATTTAGAGCATTTAGAAGATGATTTCAATATTTTATTATGATTATTAGGAGAGCAACATAAAAGTGATAATAAAGAAAGTGTGTTACTTATATGGAAGAAAATATATATTTCTGTATTTTTTCTATATTTCAAAGCACAGTTTACAAGTTTAGAGTACATGGTAATTAATAACTAATTAATAAAGATTTATTAATAAAAGAATTTTTTGTCTTAAATTTATTATCATCTAATTATATATATTATACCTAAAAAGTTGTTAGAAGTTGCTTAAGTATATATACTAAAAAATTATTAAAAAATTATTAAGTTTGACTATTTAATATTAGAAATTTTCTTTTTGATGATTGATTATATAAAGAAGTACTATTTTTATCATTTTTTCATCATTCATACTATTTGTTTGTATTTATTCTGCAAAATTTATGTGCTCAAGATATGATTCTATTCTATTGATGCTTATAAATATCCATAATATATGACAATATTTATAAGAGAATCTATTAAAGAAATTATTTTTAAAATTTATAAATTCTCTGATTAAATTGAATATAATTATTCGTTCTAAATAGTAAAAAATATCATTCTGATTTTTTACGCAATTGATATTTCGAAACAAATACAAAGTCTTAAATGCTAAGTTGTTCTATGTTAAAAAATGTTCTTCAAAATTTTATGATATTAGATATTAATTAATAAATTGATATTGCAATTTATATAAATATTAACGTATTTACAATGTTATTTACATGTATATATATATCAAATTTATTGACTATATTAAAAAGATTATAGAAGAAAAACAGTGATAACCTATTATATATTTTTATATATTTATAAATTAATTTAAATAAATATTATAAAATTTAAACAAATTAATAATATGATTACATTAATGAGAAATATTGTTTTATCAAATAAATTTTTAATCATTAAAAAACATAAAAATATACGATTAACCATTGTTAATAATCTTCATATAAAACAAGTTTTATATAATAAAAGTGAATCTAAGAATGAAATTATACCTTATCGTTTTAATGTGAAAAGAAAAGAGAAAGAAACTTTCTTGGAAATTATACATATATATAAAAAAGATGATCGTGCTAGAAAAGGACAATTGCAATTTATTTTAACTGCTTTAAAATATATGGATGAATTTGGTGTAAATAAAGATTTAGAAGTATACAAGGAATTGTTAGATATATTTCCAAAAAACAAATATATACCAAAAAATAAATATCAAACTATGTTTTACTATTATGCAAAACATCAAGATGTAGCTCTACATATACTTAATAAAATGGAAAAAAATTTTGTGATCCCTGATTTTGAAATGCAACAAATGATTATAAGTATTTTTGGTGATAAGAATCTAGTTATAAAAAAATGTTGGAGCATATTTTATTGGTTTCCAAAGTTTTCTGAACTAAATCCTTGGCCAGTACCCAGGCCGGTACCAATAGATCCAAAAGAACTTGCTAAATTTGCTATAACAAAAATATCTGGTGTAGATGTACAAGCTAATACTATTATATTTAAAACAAAAGATGCACCTGATGCAATTGATGATACATGGATTGTATCTTCTATGAGTAGATCACAACAAGAACTTCTTGCGGTACAACCAACTAATAAATCATTAATTGTAGAAGGTCCTTTTATGATATGGGTTGATAAATATTATATTAATTATTTTGTATTAAAAGGAGATCCAATAAAAAGAGAAATCATTTATGAAGACTATCATGGTAAAAGAAAAAAAATTTCAGTTTTATGTTAAATATACATTATTATATTATGTTAATAATTATTATATAATTATTATATTATACTAATAATTTTATATAATACTATCTAATATTATATAATATTATAGCATATTATATAGTATATAATACTAACAATAATATAATTATATATTAATTAATAGAAATATATATTATTTTTAGATGTATCTCATTTGCAAATTCCATTTTGGGAAAAACATCACTTTAAAATACCTGTTACTACACATGAACAAGAAGATGGGGTATATTATGCAATTTGTGCTACAGGTACATCTTCCAAAGATTCTCTGTTATCATGGATAAGATGTCTACAAAAAATAAATCCCATTTTAGAAAAAATACCAATAACATTTAAAATAAAATCACTTTCAAATCAACAATTATATATTGAAAATAATAAAATATCTAATAAAAAACAAATATCTCAAGATAAAAATATAATAGAAAAAATGTAAATTAACATTATATGTAAATAATTATGTAAATAATTGATTATAAATAAATTTATTTGTACAGCAATAATAATATGATTTTTTTTTAATATCATCTTTTTTAAAAAAAATTTTTTTATGTGAATTAAAATAATGTGGATTCATTTTTGTTTAAAAATAACATCAATATTATTCAATATGAATATTTACAATAGAATATTTGAATATTTTTATATCAATACTTTAAAATAAATTTTTTGACCTCATTTATATATATATATAGAATCGAATTTATATGTATATTTAATACATGAATATTTATATGAAAATAAATTCGTTAACTTTTAGATTTATGCATACATAATCGGATAACATTTATAGTATATATTCGATCATCAAACATAAAACAATACAAAGTTCATAAAAGTAAAAAGTAAATTACTAATAATTTTTAACAGAAAATATAAAATATAGAATTTGTATTTCAATAATTATTAAAAATTTAGAGAAAAATGTTAAATAAATGTTTACGAATCACCGCAATTCGACCTAATTTGATATATTTTATAAATTTAAAATGTAAGTATTTTTTTATGTATTAAATTTTAATTAATTATTCAATTAGTTTTTTGTAATTAAAACATATTTAAAATAAAATACAATATCTTAGGGTTTCCTATGCAGAGAAGAAATTTTGCAAATACATCAAATGATTTTTTAAAAATGCCTAATTGTGATTATGCACCTTCTATCTATAAGGTAAAATGTTTCATTTATATATAAAAATTATTTTTTTTTATATTATAAATATGTACTAATATATAAAAAATTACATTTCATTTATTTATAATATAGGGTACAAATTATGAATTTATTAAAAGAGCATACGAATTAATTATATCTCCTTCTTTGAAGCAATTTTACAAAGAACCACTATTAATACATGAAGGTCGAGGGCAATGGTTATGGGATCATCGCGGGAAACGATATTTGGATATGTTTGGTGGAGTTGCTACTATTTCTGTTGGTCATTCTCATCCGTAAGACTATATAATAAAAAATATATATTGATAAAAATATGATCAAAAATTGAGAAATATAAAAAATAATATATTTTTTTTTTAGAAAAATAATAACTGCTATATCTAAACAAGCATCGAAATTAAACCATGTATCTTCCGCTTATATGCATCCTTGTTTATATGAATATGTAAACAAGTTAATAAATAAATTTTCAAGTAAATTAAGAGTTGTATATCTAACAAATAGTGGTTCAGAAGCAAATGAATTAGCATTCCTAATGGCTAGACTTTATACACGTAATCATAATATTATTTCATTAAGAAACAGTTATCATGGTACAACTTATGGAACATCAGCATCTACAGCAATGAGTACATGGAAATATCCATTTGTTGTACAACCACCTGGTTATATACACGTAATTAATATCAATAATAATTAATATTGATCAGATTTTAATAATTCAAAATAGAAGTAAATAATTGTATGAAATCATTTCAGATGATATATCCAGATATATATAGAGGTAATTGGGGTGGATCAAAATGTAGAGATTCGCTTATACAAGTGACAGGAAGAAAATGTGATTGTAAAGATAAAGAATGTATAGCTTCTGAAAAATATTTTCAAAAATTTGACGAATCGTTTCATTTTAGCTTGCCATGTTCGCATAATATAGCTGCATTTATAGCTGAAAGTATTCAGGTATTTTTTTTTGTTCCTGATTTTGTTTACGATTAATTAAAAATACAAAAGTTTTCAAATAGTTACGCAACTTTTAGGGAATAGGAGGAGCAGTTCAATATCCCAAATATTTTCTTCAGAAAGTATATAATTACGTTCATGAAAAGGGTGGTCTTTGTATAGCGGATGAAGTTCAGACTGGTTTTGGTAGAACGGGAGAACATTTTTGGGGTTTTGAAAGTCACGGTGTAGAACCGGATATAGTGACTCTAGCAAAAGGAATAGGAAATGGATTTCCTCTCGGAGCGGTAGTTACAAATAACAAAATTGCCAATAGTTTAAATTCTGCATTACATTTTAATACATTCGGAGGAAATCCACTTGCATGTGTTGTAGGATCAACAGTATTAGATGTAATTATATTATATTTATTTATAAGTTCTTAAAATTACATTATAATATTGTTAAGTATAACAATACAATATTAAATAATAATATAATAAATTAAAATGATAATAATTTAGATCATAGAAGAAGAAGGTCTTCAACAAAATGCACATATAGTCGGCACGTATTTGATCAATCGTTTGAGTACTTTTTTATTAGAATTTCCCAATATTATTGGTGATGTTAGAGGAAAAGGATTAATGATCGGAATTGAATTAATTTCAAATTCCGAGACGAAAAGACCCTTAGAATCTGAACGCATACTTGAGATTTTCGAGAATATTAAAAATATGGGAATTCTCGTTGGGAAAGGAGGGTTACATGCAAATGTAAGTTAAATAATAATTACATATTTTTAAGACTTATTATCTGAATATTAATGATATTTGATATATATAGGTATTACGAATAAAACCACCTTTATGCATAACAAAAGAGGATGCAGATTTTACATTTGCAGTTATTAAAAGAGCATTAGAAAAATATAAAAAAAAATATAGTTAAAAACAAAATTATAAAATAATATGTGATATAACTTCTTTTATTTAATATAATTATATATATTACATTTGTACAATGCAGTTCTTTTTTTTATATAATATATCTTAATTTATCAAATTGGTACAGTATCTTATATACATAGTTATTCAAAATAAGCAATGAAAATTACTAATTATATGTAATGAAATAAGGCTATATAATACATATAGCTATGATAGATATGATATTATACAGATCAATTAAATTTGAAAAAAATTAAATTTAAATTAATATAATAATATACACAATAGAAAAATGACAAAAATTTTGAATAATGATATAATGATAAAGTAATACAAATTTGCAGCTACAATTATTATATTTTCAGTCTTCCCAATAACAAATGCGTATTAAGTTTATTTAATAATTTGTTATATAATAATATAAATATTATATAATATGAATATTCTGTTTTTTCCATAAAAAATGCAATTATGTAATCTTTTTATATTAATTAATATTCTGTATTTTGTACATTATATTTAAGATATTATATAGAAGTCAAATAGTTAAAATCATATATACTTGGATTTTTTTTAAACAATTTTTATATGATCTTTTTATATTTAATTTACTTTAACACAGTTACAAAAATACATATTCATTCATAGAATATCATGAAAATCATGTATATCCTGTACAAATATTTTAAACCTTTTTTTCAATACATTGTACAGTATAGCTATATTATTGTGTTTTATATATTCTTTCTTTGCACATTTTTTTATACAATGCAATTGTATAAAATATAATCTAATTATATAACATATTCATTATAAAAAAGAACTTAAATTTATATACAAAAAAATTTTATTTTTATTTAAATAAAATAAGTTATTGTTTTCTACTTTAATATTCCAGAATCTTCATGTTTTGCATATTTGATTGACTTTTAATTTTCCTCCCAGTTAATCAATTAATCAATTCTTCTATGTAAAGTTCAAATTAATAAATATTTTGGAAGACTTATTATAATATAGAGATATATTAGCAAAAATAAATGCAAAACTGCTAACAATTCATAAAAATTAATATATATCAACAAATATAAATGCACTCAATTATAAAGACAACAATACATGAAGATTTTTAAATGTAAAATAATTAATATATAAAAAAAAGATTTGGCACAAATCTAAATAATATGAACATAATATGAACATATAATATAAATATGATGCTCTATTTTTTCGAATTGTTTAAAAATTTTCACTAAACTATTTTCAATAAAACACTTATTAATTGTTATTTGTATCACAAAATGCAGTATTTACTTTCAATAATAATATTATATGGAAAAGATAAGCTATCTCTCTTATAAATGAATGTATAATTATATTTGCTGTAATAAATTAAATTTTTTCAAATTATTAAATATTCTATTTTTTTTTTTAAGCAAATAAAATTGTTAAATATGAAACATGCAATGAAAAAGTTTTTTCATTTTCAAAAAAAAATTTCCATTTTTAGGCAATTAGATTTGTTAAAACAATTTTAGAATCTGGTAATGTATCAAGAAGATAATGAGAAGTATCAGCCATTGAGGCAAGATCAGCCTCTAATAATGCTAGTTGAAGTTCTCTACGTGCTTTTTGTACAACATATACCATCAATGAAATACCTATTAAAATCTGAAATTGAAATGAAAAAATTATTTGTATTTTTAAATATTATAAAAAATTAAATCTTAATTTGTTTATATACTTGAAAACAGAAGACAATATAACTAGTTGCTGCTGTTGATTTGTCTTCAAGAACATCTTGCATAGATCTTAAACTACTGCCCAAATAAATATTGATAATCTGAGCAGGCAATAATCCTAATGCACTAGCTATATGATATTGAATGCCACCCATATTACTTATCTAAATATTTATATATTATTAATATAATTTTTTATTAATATTATTAAATATTAATCATAAAAAACATACCGCAAAAATTGTATTTTGCAGACCAAAAGGAATAGGAGTTAATCTTGCAAGTAACACAACTTTGAAAGCTTGTGATCCAGATATAACTCTTAGAATTGCTCTTGCAGTATCATTTTGCATAAGAGTTCCAATAGGTAATTTGGATGATAACAAACTAAGAGTTACATGTGCTATAGCTATTCCCAAGTTGGCAGATAATACTACCATGACAATACCTCTTAATATGCCAAACAGATAACCACTGGCAATAATAAGAAATAAATAACCAATTACAATAGGGAATGAGACCACTGTGAACAATGCAATGAATATTACAGTAACGATCCATATATTCTGATGTTCAATCCAATAAAGTAACACTTTAATATAATCTCTGCAGATAA